TTGTAAATAATACAGTGGTATAATTAATGTGTGGATGGATGACATGAGCGTGACTTGGCAAATATAATATGCTGCTATGCCCTTTTGCTTGTAACTTTTCGGTAGATAAATTACCGATAACTTAGCCACTTCGTCTACAGGAAACATAGAATCAAGCATAGCTCTGCTGCTCTTCTCAGTTCGCTCGTGTTCCTTCTGTCTGTCATCCTATAATTATACATTACGCGCGTATCATTAACTAGGACTGGCCCCAAGGCCACGGATTGCGGGCGTGCTTCTTCCCCCATTCTAACTGAGCACATAACGTCCTTGATTTGTCGATACTGCAAACTGAGTAGCTGATTATCGATCACTCGTTTACATTATCGACTCGGTCACGGACCAGCCGCAACTGTTTTCAAACTATCCCTTAGATCAAGTATGTTACCACTGACAGGGAGGACGTAAGGACCTTCCTATTCATAAGGCTATAGGATGAAAACTCCATGTCAAAAAAAAACACATATCATATATAGACTATGGACTAGCAACTATACCCGCTCTATGAACAAGCATCCATTATCATAGATAAGAGACGGCAAGAGGTATCGAGAAAATGCTAAAAAACTATCACTTACAATGTTTATTACTGTCATCTGTATCTTTTCCTAAGACCAATGATAATATACACAGTTATAGAAAATAAATAGCCCTACTAAATACTCGCACAGTGTGGTAACAAAGGAAATACCTTTTTTTTTTTTTTTTTTTTTTTTTCTTTCAGAGTACATGTATGTTAGACGCTCTTAATATATGAATTGCTAGGAAAGGGTTCATGTATACATAGATAGAACATGTAACAAAAGTATTTGTAGTGTTTCAGTGTCACCCGTAAAGGGAGTAATGAATTCGGGAACGCGTTCACTATATCCGTAGCGTTTTGCAGGACTAGTAACGCTTCAACCTATCGTTATAAAAATGCCATTTCGCATTTTAGAACGTACAATATCAAGTATGAAACGCAAGAAAGATTAATCCTGTATTTCAAAATGGCGCCATATTGTAACGATACGGTGTTTTTTTTACGGTGTTGAAGATACATCTGTCCCTTGCAAAATGTTGAAACTCAAACTTTTCACTTGGATATCGTCACCAGGGACGATCTGCTGTAGGCCATGGGATATCGGAAAATTCGTTTGGTTTACGATGCAATGCATTGGGAATACAGTGCTTTCGTTAACTTTTTTGTTGAGATCGTGAATGACCTCTTACAAAGGTGAATGATGAGAAGGTGTAGGGTGCGACGGTGGGGCCAATCGATCTCATTGATATTTGCATTCAGGTTGGTGCATGTAAAATTGATAAGGTCATATATTCGGACAAATGGGGAATCCTGATTTTTCGGGGACCAAAAACGGAGACGGAGAGCGGTGGCTTTCCTCGCTCGAGGGTTTCAACAGTGGTCAATTACTATACAATGCTGTAATTTGTAAGGAGAAATGAATATTATTCGTAGACAATCAACCGTATCAGTGGCTGAAGGCAACCGAACTGGCAGGACAGCGTATGGCATCTACTTGGTGATCCAACACAATGGTTATCCACTACGGTTTCGTAAATCCTGATTAGGGTTAAAAGCTAGGAGGAAAGCTCTTTATTAAACAGCCAAAATTAATTAACCAAAATAACTATTGCACAGCAACGCTGACCTACGGAAAACGTAAACGTATTGAATAATCAATCTAATATCAATTTTTATAGCATTTTTTAATGCTAGAGTTTTTTTTTTATCTAGTAAAATATACGAAGACGTTCGCATTCGATATTCGTGGAAATGATATCAGCAATGGGGAGACGATGTATGCGGAGCAGGGATCGATTGAAAGTACACAGATCTGGCCAATGATACATGTTTGTCTGAATAGTGCTACTTGGAAAAGTTATTTACTCCTGATTTGCCATAACAGTGACCATTGATTCATAACTACATCTCGGAAAAAGACACCAGACATTTACATGGAATTGTTTGGAGAGGCCTGTGAAGCTCCAGAGAGAGAAAAAAAAAAGTCGAAGATTTCTCTTCTGCAACAAAGTGCGAACATTAATTAAATCGTGCCGGTATCAGTCAATTCACCTACCAACCCATAGTAATTAACACGCAAACAAATATACGGCGTCCCTGTTACGGACGGCCTCATTCGTCAAAGATATACCTATTGGAAGATTTGGCCTGTAAAGAATTCTATCAAAACTAGGTGTGCTTTGCTGAATCATCTCATTTTTTCAGTCACTAACGTAATTTATTCCTAGAGAGTCTGCTTTGTATGCCGATTATAACAAGCATGGCTTGATATCACGAGGTAAGTGTTCCGTTTGGATAAGTAAACGTAGGGATTTTAAGCGAGTGACCCAAATCAATCCAATCATAGACAACTGAACCATATCTTTGAATTAAATGTTTATGTCTCAATCTCAACTAAGCTTGATCATAATAATTCATTTTTTGCGTACAGTATATAGAAAGAGGTGTAATTTAGATTAATACTAATGCTATTTAAGCTGATCTACGTACGATACAAGCAAATTCTTTTTTTTTTGAATATCAGTACTTTATGAAATACTAATTCAGGGCAAAGCCTGTTAGCGATGATGGTTTTCTATACGGCCAGGCTACAGGCGAGGCCAATGGCTGTCAGTTATTTATTTCGGTACATAGATAATATGGAAATAGTACATATTCCTTGTTACACACACCGGTCAGTCAATTGAAGATGTCTTCAAATTTTCTACTCAATTCCCACCGTAAGTCTTCTTTGAAACTCGTCGGCAATAACCGAATCTTTTTACTGTTGTATGCGTTTGTGCATCGGTTATACGAAATAGTTTTAGAAAACGTATGTTTTTTTTTCTTAGCACAGTACGAAAAGCTCTGAACAAGAGGCAAATAGAAACCAGCGTGCCTGTTTTAGCCACTACGACCAAATGAAGCCTCCTCAATGCTAGGAGTAATTTACATGGACAGAATCCAAACTCCATCAAGACTGTCGTAAGAATCTGGTTCTTTTATTCAGTTGTATACACGCTCGAAATACGATCAAAGTATTTTACCGAGTTATGTTATAACAATAATATGCATTGACTACTGGAAAATATCGATATCAACGAAGCCTCTCTCGTTTCGTCTAACGTATACACTTTATAAAGTCGTGGACAAATATATGCTGTACTACGCAACATTCTGCGATGGCGCCCACGTTACGGTCCGGCCTTTAAGAGCTCTGTCGACAACCCGGAAAGATAAAAGGGATCGCATTCGCAGGCCCAAAAACAACGCCAAACCTATTGAACCTACGGAGAATGATATAAAGGAAATCCTCCAGGGGTTCTACCCATTAGAAGGGTTCCTGCTGCCGTTCAAATCGAGCACGTAGTTCTATTCAAAAAGAGACTTAATCTAAGCCTGGAGGGCCTAAATTCCCCTAGGAAGGACAATTAACTTCAATACCTATAACCATTCATTCTGATGCATGGTGAACAAGCCTGCTTTGTTATTTGATGTCACCACATCCAATCGAATCCTAACAGCTATTCAGTGCCTGCTATTTTTTTGCGTATATTTCCACAAAAAATAAAAAAAAAAACTAACATGCCTACAAATTACCGATGAACCCAAATTTGGTAACTTCTACAACAGCACTTGTAGGAATCTAAGATCAGTTTGCGGATTTGTTCGAAGGCAGCCATTGGTGCATAATTAAACCTGGTACATAACCCCAAAAGCAGTATTCATATTTCGGATGATGCTTCTTCAAGAGCACTTATGATCGGTTGCTTTATACAGTATGTGGGAACGCCGAAGTGATTACCTTTCCTTAGCTCGCATTTTCCGTGTCTGCGAATGCAATCCCTTTTATCCTTCCGGATTGTCGACAGAGCCCTTAAAGGCCGGACCGTGTGGTAAATAATTTTTTTTTTTTGTCAACCTACATTCGCGACGTGTTGCAAGATACTACAAGTTGAGTGATGAAAAAATACGTTGTAACAAGTGTGTACAGTTGCGTCTTACTAATGACACAGACGGCCAACAACCGAGCAAGTAATTGCTATAATAGGTTTGCCACGAGTATGAAACAATTCACTTCGGCTTTGGAAAATCGATTTTTTCTGTGGCCGAGAGAACCAACGTAGTGCAGTAGTCATTCCGGCATCTTATGCTATATCTCAGAACCCAACGGTTCAATAGAACTACATCGAAAGCGCTAATAGTGTTTTCCTTGACCAGCTTGCGATTTGGCGAGATAAGCTTTACTAAACTGTACCAGCTTTATTAAGCTAAATGACTTTAATAGGTACCAGCTTATTTCGTTACAAATCAATTGTTTGTCCCGAAGCGACATAGCTTAGCGTATCGGAATTGCTGCATGTTAAAAGCACTGGAGACCTTGTGTATAAGCGATCACTGTCCCGTGCAGATGGGACTGCGAAGAAACCCCCCAAACATTGCTCTGCAAGGCGTAGTAAGCTATCGTATCAGACAAGCCACGTAACGCCTACTCTTATAGGGTAGAGAATATAGTCGAAATATTGCCATGCCGAATAGTCTATAATGGATACGTCCAATCCGTATACGGCACCACAAAATCTCACTGTTGGTAATAGTACTATTCATAGTATTATTTTGGCGACGGATGCATTCAAGCTGGTAGCAGACAGAAGGGTTACGGCAAAAACGCACAGTCGTTACCGTGAATAGCTAAAGAACACGTAATTAATGGAAAAGACCATTTGCTCAGAGACTTTTTGCCCCTTACAGTGATGGGCGTTAGTTGAAGAGAAAGAACGGTGCATCAGAGGTATTGAAATATTCTCGCCATAGAATTAGCAAATTGACAGAAAGATATACGCGGTTGCGTACATTCGCTTACATATATTAAACGTTTATATGAACATGAACGTATAATGCATGGGACCTTATTGCATACTTGTTATCTGTGCGCTGCTAGTCCTAGGGTAATACTTACCGGCCTCTCCTGGTTTGATACATTTTGGTAGAATGGCAATATCGTCCAATGCCGTATCACCCTCAATGCCGACTGCGGGCTCGCTTTGCAGGATAATCTGCAACGAAGAGAATATTTCGTGGGAAACAAAATAAACCTATTTTTGTTGCTTACAGTTAAGGCAATATCTTTGTTTTAAGAAAAAAACCTACTTATAATGTCTGTATGACAAACAATTTCGGCGTATATGCCTCTTATTTATGTAACTGAATTCTCTGAGATGTTAGCAAATCGCTTTCGGATAGATTTGCCCACTCGCAGATTCGAATCTAGGTTAGTGTACGACAATATGACAGCCATATGCGTTAATTCTAGTAATCAGGGTTACCTCTAACGCTGTGGGCCTTATAAAGTAACCTAGCCTAGCTTAGGTATATACGTGTGTGCCCCGCACCGATATAGCAGGATAACTGTAGTATAATGTTCACACTGGTGCAACATAAGCGGCCGCTACGACACACTGACGACAACGTAATGCAAAGTGCTAGAACGGCAGATCTTAGAGCTTTGGCTGCCGGGATCTCATCTAAATGAATAACAATTTGTTCTACCTTAACAGATTTTAATAGATTGCTTTCGAACTCTCTATCCGATTGTAGTATATGTAACTCAGGACGCCTATTTTAAAGTGATGCTTATGTTTCCCAATTATATGAGTCAAATACCCGTTCAATACTTATTATGCACGCCTTCACGACTTACCCTTGTAAACGAACTCTAATTATTAGTTGCTATATGAGTATTTATAAGACGAATTCTGTGTTTACTTAAGTAAACCTAAAATGCTAGGTAATACTGGAACTCACGGAGACGTTTATACGTATAATTTGAGTTTCGCTTTAACACTGCTCGTCCTGCAAGAAAAATTTTGTTCATCATAGTGACTTCAACAAATAAGTCGTACTAAAGCGAATCAAACGCTTCAAAGCACAGGACACATTGAAGGGAGAAAAACCACAGAATTGAACCGGGTGGGAGGCTTCGCTATGATGTAGCAAAAGCCACATATTCCTAATTTTGCCTTTTCTCTTGGATGGCAAGCGGCCTCATAGACAATCGAAGGATGACAGCGATGTCGACAACAACAAAGATGATGGCCATGTGATTTCTCGTTAGCCCAAACTACTGCTTCTACCATCGTCGTTACCATCGCCATAAGGAGCTCAGAGTTTGAAATTTGAGGAAGTGCCGAATTGTGTGGTAAGTAAGAGGAAAGAAAAAACGTTTTCTTTAGCCTCTTCTACTGCGTGTGACGGACGCCGCTGTGCTGGCGCGTCGTTGCTGGTCTTGGTGTCGTTTAACGACTGAGCTGTCGTCAACTGGAAGATGGAGGTGATGGTGGATAGAATATCGAAGGATTCTCCCTGCCAGCCGCCAGTGCCACCGTCCAAGCCGGCTGGTGCGGCGTCCTGATAATGCCTTCAACAAACGTCGCGATATCCCCTGCGTCGCCCTTCCATTTTAGAACCCCACTATTCTCCTACCATTTTCGTTCCCCGTCCGTAACCTAACATTGCCGACTAAGCTTATCACTTGCACCACTGCCAAACAGTTCTTCCTGTCCCAGCGGGAACCAAATCGCCACTGCTTCGAAACGAGACTAACGTAAGAGAGAAACAGACCAACGTAGAGGAAAACAATGAAACGAGATAATGAGAAAGTAGCGTGTCTCTCCCCACCATCCCTCAGTAGCTGTGAAACCCTACGAGACTGAGTCGGTAACAGCAGCACTCGTCAGAAGAAATTCTATCGTCCAAGTTTGGAGCCTCCTCCTTTCGCCTGGCTGCTCTAACTGCTACTCTACCTACAGTATTCAGTTCCTTATACTCTAAGCTAACTGTCCCTTCCCATTTGGCACGCTTTAAGAGCAAAAGGAGAAGTTTTCACGGCTAAACTGAAGGTAAATGCTAGCAAAAGGTTAAAACGGTATCAGAAAAGTGGGAAATGCAAGGGTACATGTGAAAGTGTGTAGCAGATACGCACAGCACTTAACAGTGCGCTGGCTCTCTGTCTGGGCTGGTAGAGACGAAGCTCAAAGTGGATCATCAAGTCACCATACCATTATCGTCGGTTGCTGCTTATCCTTCTGACTGGCAAAGCTGTGCCATAAAAAAACAGCGCCTCTAACTATGTAAATGGACGATGAGCAGCAACGTATATAACGCAAGTGGCGCTTGCCACACAAATGCCCTGAAATGTTTGCACAGGCCGGTCTCGGTCACGTAACGGGGCTATGACTAAGACCTGTCACGCCTGCCAGTGGTAGACGATTTATAGCTCTGGAGTTACTCAGCGCACCTTAATCATGTATAAATAAATAGAACTGATTAATTAAGAACCTATCTAAATTACACTGGAGGATCCGAACAGTAGGATACCGATAAATAATTTGAACACCTTCTTAAATTAATACAAGAAGATCGTATCTATAAAGCCGGCCCCATATACTAGCAAATTGTCAGTGGGTATATCCTTCTTTACCGGCCGGTGTAAAAATGGTCAAAAAGCCGGTTATCGTTAGTGCATATCGGATGCTCCGCCAGGCAAGTATCTGCGTGCTTAAAATCGACATCCTACGTTACGACCATGTAGAGGTATTTCACTATTGCTGCAGAACTACTCAAATTATGTTATAACCTATTTATCTTTTATATTAAATCGTCTAATTATATACTTAAATGTTTTTCAGAAGGATTCTTATCTATTGCTACAAAAGCAAAGCAAATGCTGATAGCAGTAAAAATGCCAAAAGAGTAATACAGTAATAGAAGCATACGAAACGCTCCCATAATTCAAATCGAGCGTTGTTAATGGGCAAGCATGTGGTCATCTCCTTTGGGGGTGTAATCTCTGCGTGTAACTGGTTCGGATCACGATTGAAGAAAAGGTTGCGAGCACTCATAATAAGATGACGAGGAAAATTCCCTGATAACGCATAGATGACTGCGGGCTTAAATTTAAAAGCCGTGTTTTTTTTTTGCTGAAATAATTTTATTCTACTACTAATTGCCCCCTCCTCGTATAGCTTTTGCATTCTTGTGTATTCTATCATCTGTGTAATCTTTTCAGGTTTCGCGTTTTAGCCTACTCAACTTACGAATACGTAAGGTGGTCAAGGTCCGAAATCGCGCATAGGTGTGCTTCATTTCGGAACGGAAGCGAGCTCTCTAAAGCAATGCTTAATGGCAGTATCAAGAATCAAATTCAAAACACAAGATCTTAGCTTAACGCTTCGCACACGTTTTCCTGCAACTTTATTTTTTACGTTTCGACAGCCTCTGGACATTTTTGTGCAGGCGCCATACGGGGCAAACTAACACTGATGACACATTATTGAAGAGACAATCTGCAGTCCAATAGTACCTAGAACCTTGTGATCATGATATATTATTTGATGATTAATTTAGTCTTCCTTCACTTAACGCTTGCATATGCGGAAAGTCTTGTTTGTTGAGAATACAGGTGGATTGAAAGTACTGCGATCATTTTGACTTTTTAAAAAATAGGTGCGTACCTCCAACGGGAATGCACTGACTGACCATAAATCGCATCATTGTTAAGTTTAGACTAACCCCAGGACTAATTTTCGTCGAACGAACCCAGAGAAAAAGGGCCTATAGAGTCTAGATGCATGGCTCAGTTCACGCTGGAAAAAAGCCGCACTGCTGAACGGCAGCAGCAGAACTGACCGCAATCTTGGAACATCTACTTAGCTAGCACGTACTTAAATTATGCTTACTGATGATTTTGCTGCTAAGGAGTACCATATCTTATTATACTAACTCAAAATCCGGTATTCGAGCTATCAGGTCATCCATCAAAAAAAAAAAAAGATATTGTTGAAGCTTCCAAATTGCTTATCGCTATGAAGTTACAAGGGGGGAATCTTACAATTTGTACTCGGTTCCGACTCCATCCTTTGGATGCTGCTCAAATCAACAACATCGATAAATTTTTATGAAGTTAAAAATTGATTTAGCAATAGCAATAAATGTACCACGTATAACAAACAAAATATAGTTTTACATAGCGTGGTTCTTGAAAACCCAGTTTGATATGAAACCCTGATATACTTAATAAATTCACTCAATCGTTAGCGGCTATTAAGTCTGACTCACTTGGTAATCCAGTTTAGTAATTGGTAACGTTGTCTGAAATTTAAGCCAGTCATTACCCTGAGCGCTCTCAACACGATGTACAAGAATGGCTTCCTCCAGTGTGTACTTGTCAAATCGAATCAATACGCTTAGATTTCCTGAAAATGAAAATTTCCGACTTTACCTTGTCAGACCTCATAAATAACCAGCACAAACGATACAAAATTTACATCTAAGTACAACCATCGTTTATACTATGTTGATCCGTGCTAATAACTTAAATTTATCAGTACAATGGGTTCGGCGATCGTGGTTCCGAGCAGAGGACAAGGATTATCGTCGCCATGCGGACGTACACGTTTCAAGTATGTACGTTCGTGCTAAACGAGGAAAGCGCATCTTTTTTTCTTTATAATTATAACCATGCATAGCTGAGCTGCTTATTTAACACCGACAAAATTTCGACTACAAATGCTAAGGCTATTCAAGAAAGGGCTATTTGTATCATAGTTTTTTTCTCGTCTGGGGCAGGACTAAAAGGGTACCTAGTCTACTCCTGCTGGCAAAGATTACACTAAGTACGCCCCATTTGCCAATTGGCACAGTGTCTTCACACCGGTGCAGTCTCCCACACGAGTATTTGAATGAAAACGGCCCGTTTTTTTTTTATTTTTAACCGGAAAACAGTGCTAACATTTTACACGACTTCAGGTGAATACCGTAAGTGTATCTATTTATTTTATATAGTTATTATATGTGTGAATTGTGGTACTTTAAACTTTGACACGTCAGGCTCATGCTTACCTAGAACAAAGCGTCGTTTAAGGACCTGCATAGGAGTTATTACAATGCGTAATTTTAATTGAGCTGCTACCCCATAAACTAACCCCTGCTATTATTACTATTACTATCTATGACAAAGCTAATCACCTGAAAGGAAATTATATTATTATTATTTTGTCTGTACAATGCATCTTTCAGTGCATTAAACTAAGTTCAACCATTGAAGCAGTGTTTATTCCTAGACGTGTACGTATCGTAGTCCAATTTGTCCCACCGCGTACCGCGTTTAACGAAGATATTTTCACTTGCATCTAGAAAAGAAAACGTGCCAAATTCCATTTTCTTCAACGATATTCGAAATTTAGACCAACCAGGTTAGGCCTAATGCTTATATTAAAGGTTGTTGCTAAAACCTAATTAATCTCGGCTCTCAACGGTTGCCTTTTGTCCGAATGACGGACAAACCAGCTAAGAAACACCTAAAGCGAAACGAAACTTTTTGCCCTCCGTAGTTTTTCCACATATATAGGAAGCGTTTAATCCATATAAGTATCAAACAAGGACAAACATGCAAAAAATGAACATGGTCTCAGCGTAACTTTACATTTCGCGGCATCTTTCGTTGTAAAACGTCTCTCGTCTATCCCGATGACTAACTATAGGTATGATGACTAGATGAATAGGCTTATTCAAAAACAAAAAGGCATCTCTCCTCATTTATACGGCCGACTAGGATGTGGATGAAAATTTTTCCTGACCGGTTGTCTCGTTTTGGTACCCTCTCTACAATTCGATGGTACTGATTTTTTAGAGGGAATATTTACGTGATTTAGGTTTATTTACGTGTACGACTAGGCAACTGCAACATTGCTTATTTGCTTTCGTATACGTCACCTGATAAGGTTCAACGTAACCAGGTAGTTTTAAATAGGGTATCGATCAAATTAATAAATCAAATTATATTAAGTTGCTCTAGTCTTTTATTTATACTGGGCCGGTTTCACCGTGAGTACTTCAATGATCATTCGTCGTCGTCAGTTTCAATCTTTGCGTGTCGCGTCTCCTATTGTAGCAAATGCCTGTGTCAATCTCGGGACGAATTTGTTGTATATCTGGCTGATTTGTGCCAAAACAGGCCAATTTCTCATCCTGATAAAGTCTAGTAACTGAATAACTGAGCAACGCTTGCGAAAAATGTTACGTTCTGCTACTGCATTTTTCCTGCTCATTGATGTCTCCAATTTAGATGAACGTGGATCTTTTTTCCATTGGTCATTTTTACCGTTACTACAACTAGTGTTGTACGCGTAGCTGATAGACTATAAATCCTGGCAACGCGCTAATGGTCCAGAAATCTGATCTCAAACGGAAAACACCCCCACCCCCAACCCCCCAACTCGAAATCGTGAAGGGAAAGGCAATAATGGGCTTATTTTTTTTTTTTATTAGCTAGATATCTTGATATACAAGGAAGAAAGAAGAATCGAAATAGTTGCAGTAACGCACAGAACGACGACAAGCTGCCTCGGAGGGTTTCTTTTCAGATGTACAAATGGTATATATTATCGTTGATATCATTGGTGATATTATTATTAATATTACTGAGTAGACTCCAAACTGCTGGTTGTACGGGTGGGTTCCTGTTAACCAATCCGAGTCTTTAGTTAATTATAGTCTAAAACTTTAGTTATGTGACCTTATAAAGCGTTTCTTAACGTGCAGTTAACCATTGTTCGCAATGGTTTCCTATATAAAAAAAAATTAGCTATTGCGGGCTTGCTATTTATTGAACTGTTTAAATGCAGCTAGATTAAAGTAGTACAAGAGTTATGGTTGAGAGGTTAGAAGTATCTATGTATGAATGGATGTAATTGTGACACGATTTAGGAGAAAGGAAGGACTAGATATTCCATAGGTATCTTGTTTTTTTATCATGTATGCAATGATATGCATATTTTAGCGCTAAATATTGTAGCCGGAACCATTGAGCCTCTGCGGCAACACACAGAGCCGCGCATGTATAACACCGACCCATTTCTCCCCGGGAACGTTCCACATTTATTTCTGTGTCGTGACCCGTACTTAATACGTATTCTAACCCGAACACTACTATCCTGTGAGTTTTCCAATCTAATCGGGAACAAGTTCAGACCGCCTTGATCTTAACGCCAACTGTGCTTCAGTCGTCTCTTTGTTTTGTTATCTCGTACCACTGCCATTGTTCAGTCGCGTGCCGTCCCTGTCGTTGGCTTTATTCCATGAAGAATTTTTTAGATAAAGTTGGCGTAAAACCTGTATTTTTGTGTAAAATTATCATCAATCAGTCAAATACGTAATTACCGATTTCGCTAACCGATAAGCAGACTTAAAATTTAGTTAGTTTTTAATCCATTTATAATATATGTTCCGTTCGCCCTTGTCGTCTTTTCATTGCACGACTATAAATTGCTTATCTAATTTATTTGAGTAAGCAACGTTTAATAACTCGTAATATAATAACAATAATAAGCCAAGCCCTTACACGTGAAAAACAACACAGACCGCTACAGCCGACAGACCTGTTTGATCAGCGCGTATATCATAATATGTACATCCTTGTAATTTGTCTAAACTATAGGATTATACAGTGAAATCGGATGTCATTGCTGCTATATTAAATGTATCTAATAGGCTAGATGTTCCCGCGCAATGTAGAAACAACTCGATTTCTAATAACGTAATGTTTAATAGTTATTTTTACGCGCGCTGTTTTGAATTTACAGCATCGTCTTCGACTACGTCAGTGCTTCATTTGTTGCAACGATGGCTATTTCTAAAGCTTTCCGTAACCATTGCTCCGATCTTTTCTCGTTCCTTGAGTACGCCTACGTTTGCGTATCTCTGTCGATATGCACACGCTTGGAGGGGAAGGGGAAGGTTTAATCTCAGACACTCATAATTGAGCTAGATTAATTATATTTATACTATGTGTAATATTCCTGAATAAATAGCAGCAAGGTTATAGATAATCTCGTTACTTGAAATTACGGTGCCTTAATTCAAGGATGGCAACAACCATAGATAATAAACATATAGAGTAATAACAAAACAACGATTAAAAGCTTCGAATGAATAAAATAATGGTGATGATACACGAAGGTTGGCCTTATATTTTTGACGGATCAGAGTTAATATACCAGCGTCTAACGCTAGCATATCCACCTAGACCGAGAACAGCGTAGTGAATGTAAGGTTAAGCGTTGATCCTACTCAAATGTAAGTCTAGTATTCCAAAAAAGAGGAATTGCGTTGACGCAAGTATCCCCAAGTGTTGCGTCTCAAAAATTTTCCCGCAAATTCTCTGCATATTTACCGTCGTACAGTCATCTTATATATTAATGTAATGAATGGTTGTGGTTATGCAAATGTTTTGCTTGGATTAGCTTGAAAAGCGTCCAGCCGAGAATACGAGACGTTCGGAACATATTCTAACCTACTTTTAACATCAATATGATAAAGAGAATCGGTAGTACTCTCTTGTTCGAAATCATACCTTCTCGTCCAGTTTTCTCCATCGTCGATGAATCAAAATTCATCTGTGTGCGCAAGTCTTTTGAAGAGAGAAACCCCAGCCCCCTCTCATGGACGACACGGATAGAGCGAGATGGAACCAGTGTCGTTGGGCCAAACCGAAATTGCTCTACTTTTGGGTATCTATCCATCATAATACCCTTGATTCATACATATCACGTAATTTGCCATAATTTGTATATAAGGAAAAAGCCACGAGGAAGCTCGGTTCGATCAAAACGTTCGATCCTAACGGAAAACATGTTCGTATTTGGAAAGGGCAACTTCTAGTAGAATATACCCGAAAATGATCCAGCAGCCTATTGAAGCGGACGCATACTTTCCCCACTCTGTACGTATACAGCCGTACACATGTGTTTACTCTATGCGCTTGCATAGCCTCTCCACTCCGCGCCTATATAGCTCTATACACGTGCTTATTTATTGGCTTACATGGTCCTACATATGTATTTAATCATGTAGTCATTCCGATAGGGATCATGATTACCATTTTTCAGAAGCGGATTCACAGATCTGTTGTCAGTGCAGTGGACAGGGTGCACGTCAGTGGCCTTTTTCCACGTTGCACCTGCGTGCGTATGAACGTGTCCTAATTGAAATTTTTGTCCGAAAATTACTGTGCCAACACTCCGTTTGTGTGTTTTCGGATGATCCTGGTGATAGTTTTTCTCACTGCCCAGGCCTCACTAGGCCGCGAGGTTAGCTTAAGTGTAAAAGTTCTAAAGCAATCAAGCTGGTGGGCCAGCCGAAGTCCTAGCCGCATTTTCGTCGAAGCGGATAATGCTTAGAGTCAATTGGAGTTACT